TACATAAAAAAAAATAAAGAAATAAAAAAAAACACACACTCACACGCACCCAACACCCATACACTCACGCACATACACACATACACACACGCACACACACGCACACACACGCACGCACACGCACACGCACCCAACACTCATACACTCACACACATACACACATACACACACATACACACACACGCACACGCACACACACACACACACACACACACACGCATGCAACACGCACGCATACACACGCACACGCACACACACCGCATACATCATAGCCGGAGGACTTTGCGCTCATGTCAAAGACAGGCCCGCCCGTGCTGAAACTCGTGGATTTCGGTTACGCAACGACCGTCACCCGAACGGCAGCGCAGCCGCAGGCGGAGGAGAAGGTGAAAAAAGACCGGGCCTGGCGGCAGTGGAGCGCGGCTCCGAACGCCAGCCGTTGATATTTGGGCAGCTGGCCTCATTCTTTTCCGCATTTTGGCGGGCAAGGTTCCTTTCAGGGGTATCCGAGCAGCCACCGGTGAGCTGTGTTGCGTGTGTGTGTGTGTGTGTGTATGTGTTGTTGTGTTGTGTTGTGTTGTGTTGTTGTGTTGTGTTGTTGTGTTGTGTTGTTGTGTTGTGTTGTGTTGTGTTTGTGTGTGTGTGTGCCTGTTTTCGAGTCGCTCAAACTGTGTATTAGACAGCTCACCATCACCTCTTTGCATTTGTCATTTTCGTTGAACGCCCGTTTTGCGTTGCCACACCAGGCGGAGGAAGCCATGTCACACGAGTGGTTGATGCCGTCACAACAGCCGAGTCTCGACCACCCGCCGCTCCCGTTGCCAACCGTCCTCAGGCAGAACTATGGTGCGATGTGTGTGTGTGTCTGTGTGTGTCTGTGTGTGTGTCTGTGCGTCTGTGTGTCTGTCTGTACTTCCAATGCCTTCCTTATCCCTTGCTCTCCCCTTTGCACGGCTCTGTTCTTCCCCCCCCATACACACCCCACATCTTCATCTCCATGACCCCGTCCGTCATCAGGTGTTCCAAGAAAACTCTCGCGAGAACGCGTCGTGGACGATGCCCTGGAACTTCACGTGAGTTCCACATCGTGAGAGAGAGAGAGAGAGAGAGAGAGAGAGAGAGAGAGAGAGAGAGAGAGAGTGTGTGTGTGTGTGTGTGTGTGTGTGTGTGTGCAAGTGTATGCGTGTGCACGCAGGAGTACAATCATCACGTTCACACAAACACACACAACACATGCACGCACATGCACGCAACACATGCGCACACATGCCTTCACAGCTGCCGGACCTGAGTGTTGCTGCGTCATCATCCTCAATATTGCAACACCAGAGCGCATAATGGACCCTCGATACCGAAAAAAACAAGCAGGCGTGCCTGCAAGCAAGCAAATTGCCCGTTGTATCCTATTCTCGAATGACAGACTTGTTTCGTTTCTACCTTCTTTGAAACGCGCCTTGCTTGCTTGCGTTCTGTTTGCGTTCTGCTTTCTTCGTGTGTGTATGGTTGATTCGCGCCTTTGCCAGGATAAACGTCATGTTTTGGGTTGTTGTGAAACAGTACTATGCCTTTGGATGACTTGTATGGAGGGAGGAGAGGGCATGTGGGGTCGGGCAACAGCACGAAGGAGAGCAAAGCACGCACACGGATTGACATGGGAGGAATCAGGGCACAGATGAACGTCGCATGTGGAATGCGACAAACGACCTGCAGAGTGCGGAGGTGGCTGGAAAGTGCACAAAGGAACACAACCACCAGACACAGCTCTTGCCGTTCACTCCTGAATGCGGAGGACGCGCTTGCTGAACGACAGAGCGACGCCACCTCCTATGTTGTTGGACGCACAGGCACGAAGGGGGAACGGAAACGAATCAAAGGTGTTGGTCAATGTGTGGTCGCAGCAGCCGACGTTGTGTGCCAGAGGCTCATCTGCACGCGTTTGAACATCGCCAGCTTCTCCGCTGGTACAGTCTTGCGTGTTGAAATTGCTGCTGCCTGGAGAAGTCTCGACTGCGATCCAATGGCCTCTGGGCGCAGCGTAACTATCATCATCACAGGATGTCGTGTACACCTGTGCAAGCAGATGCATGAAGGCTGTGGCAGTGAGAAGGCATGTCCCACTCTCACAACAACTGTCGCAGCGTGAGTCAAACCTAAGCACGAACACCATTCAGACTAGCAACAGCAACACGCCAGCACTCTGCAACGCATGCCAGTCCACTCACGTCAAAGTTGCGGTTGCTCCTGCTCTTGCTCAGCGAGGAGATGCGTGTAACTTGTTCAGCTGTGAGCTCCTGACCACCAGAATGGTAGTTGATGTCAAAGTACACTTCGCACTGCATTGTTTTCACGTTCGCAGGGACTGTTCCAACGTACCACTCCCCCGTCAAGTTCTGCAATGCATATGTCGTACAGGACGCCGCTGTGAGCCTGCGAAGTGAAAACATACCATTTGCAGAAAGCCAGCCATGCTGCACATTGCACACAGACACATGCTGGATCGAACTGCAGCGTGGCGAAAATCCTAAGCGCAGTTCTTAGTACCTGCAGGCGTCCGATGGCGGTGGAGCAGTCACACTTGTACCAATTGTTCAACGTCTCCAAAGAGAAGATCCAACCTGTTGTGGAGAAGTCGCTTCCCTGTACCTCCAGCTCGACGAACCCATCATTGCACGTCACCTTCAGTGCGTGTGTGTGTGTGTGTGTGTGTGTGTGTGTGTGTGTGTGTGTGTGTGTGTGTGTGTGTGTGCGCACGCGCGTGTGCGTGTCAATAGGTCAATGCGTGCTTGTTTGTGGCGAAAGAAGGAGATTTACGTTGCAGTTGTGCTGTGGTTGTGCTGCTGTCCTATCATGCCATCACCAGCACGGCTGCACGGACTTGTCACCCAGGCACAAACACACGGACACACAGGCACACACGCATACACAGACGCACGCAAACGCACACACACACACACATACACACGCTCGCAAATGGGTTGCACCTGAAATGGTTCAGATCCCCGGATCGTGATCCATTTTGTTCCTTCTGCATTCTTTGGAAAGCTGAGGAGAGTGCGAGAAACGGGAAACACAAATGCATGTGTGAACGCGACACAGGAACATCACGATGATGGACCAAGAACACAAACACCATCAGCTAAAAGTCAAACTCACAGAACTCGAATAGTCTTGCACGAGTATCCAGCCGTCTCGCGTGTGTCGCCGGCGCCTCCATAGTTTGTTACATTCGTGGCTGGAACGGCGGTCATGTCACAAAACACGTGGCGGGTGGTTTCCGCTTCGGGCTGCACGAAATACACGCCGGAGACAAATCCAAGCTGCCGCAACTGTTGATATCACCAAGGGCGAGCATTGAAGTTCAAAGCAGAGCAGGAAACAGTGAGAGTTAGACCGTCGCACACGTTAACTCATGCACTATCTTGGACACACACACACACACACACACACACACACCTCCTCGCAGCTTGATGCAGGGTTGTGTGCTTCCTTGCCAGGGATCGGAGACACGCACTTGTCCCCCCTCAGCAGCTGTGCACACACACACACACACACACACACATGCGCGATGCAACGGCAATCAGATCAATACATTGTGTGCGTGGTGAGCATTGACACCGTGACATGACTCAAGTCAACTCCTCTCACGACAGGACAATCTGAGCGGTTGCAGGATCAGCCACCCAATATGCGAGTGCTGAAGTGAGTTGGACAACATAGCAGCAGAAGATCGCACCTTCCCCTTCGCTGCACATGCTTCCATGGATTGCACCCGTCCAAGCAATGCAACGAGATCGATGCCCTCCACCAAGACGGTGCCATTTCGTGCACTCTGCAGCATCAGGTTGCCGTGGTCGTCCGCCGAAATGATGGGTTTCTTGCCAGCTGCGTCATCCTCGCTTGCACTCGCAGCTTCACCAGCGCCACATGTCACAGCCGTCACCAACACTAACACTGCTTGCACGAGCACGCGTACTCTCATACTCGCAGCACGTGTGTGTGTTTGTGTGAATGTATGTTTGTGTGAATGTGTCGATGTTGCGGACAGCACGACCAGTGACTGCAGAGGATTCTGCAATATGATCGTTGAAAATTCAACGCATGCAGCGGATTCGCATCCCACAACACCACACAGCAGTCCTCAATCTCTTTCACCGATTCCCTTCACGCAAGTGTCCGTTTACACAACAGAAACCGAAGAGACGACAATGCAGTCGAATAACGCAGAAAAGCAATGCAACGTAGCATCGTACACCACAACAGAAGAAAGTAAGTACACTCATCATAAACGAGCAAACAAGTCGCATCACACATGAACATCATGGCTCCGGCGCCTCGTGTTCTGCTGTCCACTGACTGACAATGTTGATGGCAGTGATCCACACGAGCATGGTTTCATGGCTCGATGCCTGACAAGCGTGTTTGGGGTTGTTTTGCATGGTTGACGTCGTGAGGTGAGCAGTCGGCACGAAATTCAGCAGCAGCAGCAGCAGCATTTGCAAAACACGATGCCAACAACAGCACAGACGTCACACGCGAGCACATTCTACGTAGACGTGTGGCAAACATGCGCCGTACCATGAGGTGATAGGTTTGTTTCTCGGTGATGACATCAAACGGGCAGCCGGGCACTTGCGGCGCTTGCTCCGGCGACACCCTGCTAGGAAAATACAGGACAACGGCAAGCACGTGTGAATCTGGAAGCGGGGGTGGACGGGGGAGGTGGGACGAGGTGTCGTCGTGGCGTCGATACCGTTGGCACGATGGTACACAGCACACACACACACATACACACACACACACACACACATACACACACACACACACACACACACACACACACACACACACACACACACACACACACACACACACACACAACAACAACA